CTATCTATCTATCTATCTATCTATCTATCTATCTATCTATCTATCTATCTATCTATCTATCTATCTATCTATCTATCTATCTATCTATCTATCTATCTATCTATCTATCTATCTATCTATTTACCTACCTACCTACCTACCTACCTACCTACCTACCTACCTACCTACCTACCTTCCTACGTACCTGTCTGTCTTTCTGTCTGTCTGTCTGTCTGTCTGTCTGTCTGTCTGTCTGTCTGTCTGTCTGTCTGTCTGTCCGTCTGTCTGTCTGTCTGTCTATCTATCTATCTATCTATCATCTATCGTCATCACATATAATAGATACGGCTCACTAGGAGAATCAATAATCCCGACATATGTAGGAAAGTTGGGATAAATATGACGTTACTACTGGTTACATTCACTAAAAACCATTAGACAATAGCAATGCAATGCAATTAATAAATTTAATCCAATTAGAATAAAATCTAACTAATCTAAATGGAACAATTTATGACCAACTCGATGGGTTGTTTCACACACTTTTTATATTTTAAAAAATAATAACCTAATTTTAACATTAATTTAACTGGTTCTTTACAGCCAAATACGCATAATGTATGCACATTAATGAGTCCGGGAAATATCATTGACCCAATTGAAATTATCATGATGAACAAGTCAATCACACAAAAATGAACAAATATTTATTCTTAATTATCAGCTGATTCCCCAGCAACCGAATCCGAATTTCCTCCCTTCTTTACGAGAAGTAGTTGGACCTCGCTAAGCAATTTCTCATTGGGATCGAATGCACGAGTACTGTCCTTGACCCCGTCAGCCCAAGGTTGCTTTTCACCGGAAGCGAACAGAAAATAAACAACAGCGGTGGCTCCGGCCACAGCCGCCTCCAGCCAAAACAGAATCGACCAGTTCCGGTACGTGCTGTTCCTCCCCGTCACCAAAGAAGCCAGGAATGTGCTGCACACACTGCCCATGAGTCCGGTGTTTTCCAGCGCGGCCACGGCTCCGGAATACTGGGGGGATAGGTCCGCGATGTTGCAGCTGTAGCCGGAGAACGTCATGCCGCCCAGAGCGTAGGCGGCCGTGAGGAACGCGTAGGACGTCTGCCACGTGCCTGAGTAGATCATGCACACGAAGAAGACGCCCTCGAGCACGACCCCGGTGCACTGCATGAGCTTCCTCACGCTCGTGACGCTGAGCAGCCGAGACGCGATGAGACGGTCCGAGATGTAGCTGAACACGAAAAGGAAAGAGCTGTTGACGAAATAAGGCACAGAGAGCAGCAGCCCGATGTCTGCCGCCCGGATCCCATAAATGTCTTTGAAGAACTGCGGCTGCAGAGTTAAAATTGTTGACAGGACGACACTTTTACAGAAGAGTCCCAGCCAAATCGCCCACACAGGTTTCGACGTGATGATGGCTTTCCAGGGAATGCGCCCGGCAACAGCCTTAGATCCTCTGCTGACAGTTTCGCCCTCTTCCAGATATCGCATAAGTTCTTGTTTTCCGATATAAGGGCAATCTTGTGGCAAGGGATACGCCAGCGGGAACCAGACTAACGCCCACAGCACCCCCGCCGACCCGGACAAGTAAATCCCAGCATCCCATCCGATGTAACAGATGCAGGCCCCGAAGAATATGTTACTCACGCCCGGGCCGATGAAAAGGCCGATAAACGCCACGGCCATCATGGTAGACTTTTCATGCTTGAGGGCCCAGGAGGTCACCAGCACCACTATCGCGGGCTGGCACATTCCCTCCAGCAGCCCTTGCAGAAACCGTATCGCGAAAACCCCGGTCGCCGTCTTCTGGAAAGTGTACGGAAGCGACAAGAACAGCCCGCAGGTCATCACGGTGTTGGCACCCAGGACGAGGTGGGCGGGATACCTCGTCGTGATGTAGGCCCCGAGGATCACGCTGATGACCATCCCCACGAAGTACGCCGTGTGGAACTGCATGGACGTCTCCTCGCTGTACTCGCTGACGAAGCCGGCGTCGTACGACGTGCAGTCCCGGAAGAAGCTGACGTCACTCAGATCAGAGGCGTTTGACTTCGTGAGGTGCGTTACGACCAAGGCGAACCCCGATCGCATGCACATGATGATAAACAGCGAGGAAGCGCTGAGGAAGATGATCAAGTGTCGGTATTGAAGGCAAAAATCCATTTGTTGAAATTTAAAACAACTACAATAAATATATCTGGATACAGTTGATGAACTTGAATTGCCTTACATTTCTGCAGTCTTTTCCCGTCAACCTTGTTATATACTCCCAATATATCGGGATAGCGCGCGTGTACTGCGTCTACCGCTACACACGGAATTACAAATTAATGACACTGAATTTGCATAAACGTCTTTGTGGTATAAAGCGATACCCGCCCATGCTCCCCTTTTTACGCACCATTGACGTTATTCATGGATGTGTGTGTCTATGATCAGTGTTAAATTTGTGAATTGCGTTAAAGTTGGATGTCATTTGTGAATTGTGTTAAAGTTGGATGCCATTGTGAATTGTTATATTTGGATGTCATTTGTGAATTGTGTTAAAGTTGGATGCCATTTGTGAATTGCGTTAAAGTTGGATGTCATTTGTAAATTGTGTTCAAGTTGGATGCCATTGTGAATTGTGTTAAAGTTGGATGCCATTTGTGAATTGTGTTATATTTGGATGTCATTTGTGAATTGTGTTAAAGTTGGATGCCATTGTGAATTGTTATATTTGGATGTCATTTGTGAATTGTGTTAAAGTTGGATGCCATTGTGAATTGTTATATTTGGATGTCATTTGTGAATTGTGTTAAAGTTGGATGCCATTTGTGAATTGTGTTAAAGTTGGATGCCATTAGTGAATTGTGTTATATTTGGATGTCATTTTTGAATTGTGTTAAAGTTGGATGCCATTTGTGAATTGTGTTAAATTTGAAAGCCATTTGTGAATTGTGTTAAAGTTGGATGCCATTTGTGAATTGTGTTATATTTGGATGTCATTTGTGAATTTTGTTAAAGTTGGATGCCCTTTGTGAATTGTGTTAAAGTTGGATGCCCTTTGTAAATTGTGTTAAAGTTGGATACCATTTGTGAATTGTGTTAAATTTGAAAGCCATTTTGTAAAGTGTATTAAAGTTGAAAGCCATTTTGTGAATGGCGTGTGGATGAATATCTAGAGATATTTAAATCCAATTAATTAAATCTACTTATTTGATAAATCGTTTGCAGATTATATCTATTCATACGTAGGGGTGTCAAGCGATCAAATGCCGTATGTGGCGGACTCCCATATTGCGCCCCGGTAATCAGTGTATAGATGATGTAATCATTTTAAAAAATTATGACAAAATACGCTGTGAACAAATAGCCACTAAATAGATCCATATTTTTTTTTTTTTAGAAATGCATAATCTCATAACAAAAGCATGACACCTGTATCACGACATGGTACACACCTGATCGATTGATTTCACAACGGTTGCCCGCATAAAACACCAAACTGCTAACGAGAGCTCCTAGCCGTCACGCCCGGACGGTTTGCTAACGTTAATCACCATCCGCTCTTTTGGAAGAAATGCACCAGGCTGTACGGAGTCTGCATGCAAACGGCAGCCAGGAATTGAACTACGCAATAATCGACGAGTCTCAATAAAAGCATGTTCCAGTCGTAGAACAATCCTGTTAAACACTGTGCTTACATACTTTATTTGACATCTCTGTCCCCCAAAACTAAATTGACTTTCTCAAATTCGTTTAATGGAATCAAATTCATCGTAAAATTAATCTTTTTTTTTAAAATCGTTAGAGAAATAAGTTGCGTGTCAGACACACAATTCTGAGCCAAGAGTTGCGTGTCAGACACTCAACTCTGAGCCATGAACATCTATTTTTGTGGATCTCATTTTTTAAAATGTTTCACGGCGGGGATCATCCACGAGATGGATTGATATTTTAAATTAATCCGTTACTTATCTTTGACCTTATCCATGTTTTTAAAATAGAATTACAGTGTATCAAAAAAGAAGATCACTTTAAAATCATTTAAACCCGACCAATTTGAACTATAGTCATGGGAAGTAAGCATGCTTTCTGAACTATATGTAGTCAATAATTTCTCTTTTAAACATATTTTCATAGAGCAAGTGAATGACACCAAAGGCACCACAGATCTGAAACGAGTCGCCGTTTTCAACCTCACGGGCCACCGGAAGCCAGTCAATATCACGATCGCGCCGACTGCCTGCCGGGAGCCCCGAACTCGTCACGCGATGCTCTTTAAATACTGCAACATCGACGGCGCCGTCATCCAACGTCTGAAACGCGCCCATCATCTACAACACGCCCAACGTCTAAAACATCTGCCCAGAGTCAAGCGGTCAGACAACGCGAGGAACATCCCACATGTCAAGCCGACCGGCCATCCCGAGCCAACGGCTCAAACTTCAGGACCGGGCCTGAAGCCGCCAGACAAAAACTCCACAGCCACGGACAGAGCTCTGAACACCGAAACGCGTCAGCTCAAAGGAACGCGTCAGCTCAAAGCCACGCCGAGGCAACTCAAGCCTTGCCAGGCGCGCGTCGGCGATGATGATGACGACGACGATTCCTACAAGCCCAAACTCTGCCACTGCCAACGACACAGCCACGCCGTCGACCTGCGGCGGGATCTCAACCTGGATACGTTTTTAGGCAGACGATTGATCCACCCCCTCGCCCCCGTGGACATCGGGCGGTGCGACGGGGTGTGCATGCACGTTCTCAACGTCCACGACCACAACCGGTTCAAGACTGCGCATGCGCTCGTCCTGAACTTGAACAAGGTCGGCAACGGCACAATGGCGAATCTCGTGACGTGCGCCCCTGACAAAATGGCGAGCTTTACATATGTGTACTACCACAGAGGAGTGTTTCACACGAGAGTTATGCACGCAGCTACCGTCGGGACATGTCGATGTGTATGATTTTATTTTATATCAGTGACAAAAACAAAACGTGGCAGCTTAATTATTATGAACTTTGAGAATTCGTTGATGGATTGTTTGATTTATTGTTATGAGGATTGTATGATTGCATCTGTCTTTATTACTGTAACGAAAAAAAACGGGTAATGTTTTATAGATGTTACCTTTATCCTGTGTGCTGTAAAAATTTCTTTTTAATGACATGTGGTGTTCTATTTTTGTGTCACTTTATTTGTTATGTCCCTATTCTTTTATTCCTTATGCCGTTTTAATTTATGTCACTTATTTATATCCTTTTATTTTATGTCCATTTTATAGATTTGTATGTCATTTTATAGACTTGTATGTAATTTTATAGACTTGTATGTCATTTTATTTTTATGCCACTTTACGTGTATGTCCCTTTATTTTTATGTCTCTTTATTTTATTATCATTTTATTTTTTATGTCCCTTTAATTTTATGTTACTTTTTATGCCCCTTTTTTTTATGTCCTTTTTAATTTTTATGCCCCTTTATTTTTATGTCCCTTTATTTTTATGCGCCCCCCCCCTATTTTCTAAGTCCCTTTCTTTGTATGTCAAATTTAAAAAAAAATGTTATGTCACTTTTATATGTCCTTTTATTTTTATGTAACTTTTTATGTCCGTTTGTATACTCATTCTCTTCCTTTGATTTCAGTTGTTATATCATTTCTCTTCCTTTGGTGTCATTTGTTGTGTCACTCCTCTTCCTTTGGTTTCATTTGTACCTTTTACCAATCAGGTCTAAATTATTCAAGTTTCTCTCTCCCATCATTTATTCTCTATTGTAGTTTATCAGTTTATTTTGCCAGTCTTGTTGGGTAAATGTCAAATATTATTCACATGTTTATTTGAGTGTCAACAAAAATTAGATCATCATCTGTGGCGCTACAACCTCTGCGGGGCCCTGGCCTGCTCCACCACATCCTTCCATTCGGACCGATCCGTCCCCAAAGCGCGTCCTCTCCCCCCAACTGGTGTAAGTCGTTCCATGTTTAGGGCATGGATTTCTTGCACTGGTGTCTCGTATCTACCTAAAGGTTATCTCAAAGAGTATTGATAAGACTAAGAGCAGTGATAAGACAGAGAGAAGTGATAAGACAAAGAGTAGTGATAAGACAAAGAGTAATGATAGAACAGAGAGCAGTGATAAGACAGAGAGTAGTGATAAGACAAAGAGAAGTTATAAGACAAAGAGCAGTGATAAGACAGAGAGCAGTGATAAGAGTAGAACATCGTTAGCCAATCTCACGGGGTCGTTTGTTTCTATCACGAGACCAATTTTCTATACTGTTTAGGAACTGTTGCCTCATTCGTGATACACACATGTACACACGATATACTGCTAATAGGCTAGTTATTTTTTTAATTCTTGTGGTGCAAGGGTGCAGCATAGGGTTAGGCTCACCGGGGGGAGGGGGGGGGAGGGGGTAACCCTTTTTGCCACCCGATTTCAAGAAAACGATTCTACAGTCGGACGAAACAACCACCCCTCAAATTTAAGAAAAGGAGTTTCATCGAGAGACATACCGCCCACTCCACACCCACCCCCTCCCTCCACTTTCATACGCCCCTGATGTCGTAAGAGCTGTTTAAATCTGTAGTGTAAAACAACAACAACCTATCATGCTGTTGTAACCTGCGCTGTTTTAAAGACACGCTGTTGCGCCATCTCACCCGTGTTGCTGTTGGTATTGTTGCGGCTGTGTTGGGTTTCTGTAGGACACGGGTATGAATGATTTCATCTCTTGCCCATGAATTGATTATTTATTTCACCCCATTATATGTAAAGATGATGAGGTCTGGGATATCTAGGTCGTTGTATCCGGAAATTTGATCGAAAGAAATTTCGTCGACAGTAAATTGATCGACGGTAATTTGTTCGAACGGAAATTTGGTCGAATCTTTTATTCAGTTTTTACGTTAAAATTGTGTTTCAAATTCCTTTTGAACGCATTATTTTGTTTTACTATATAATATATTGCGTTCAAAAAGAAATTTGGCGAAAATTTTAACGTGTGAACTGAAAATAGGTTTCGATCAAATTACCGTCGATCAATTTACCGTCGACGAAATTTCTTTCGATCAAATTTCCGGTAACCCTAGGTCGTGCCGTCGGGAGACCCCTGAGTTGTTACGTTATTTAGAAACTAATTACTGTTGTGTAAGCTCTCAGCGCCTAGGTCAAAGGT